CGGGAGGCATGCGGACGGGAGCCACATTTCCTTAACGGAGCCGGCACACACTGCTTCACAGGGAAACACAAGCACGCTGAGGTGAAAAACATGGGACGAAATCTCTGATTTAACCGCCAGTGAAATCGCTTACACAAATTTGTCTTTATCCATGGGGAATGAGTCATGTAAAATGGTGCAGCAAAATAAGTGCACGATCAACTTGGGCTTTGAACTCTCCCAGCGTGGGGGAACATATGACACATTCCGACTGGGCACTCAACATATGCAAACGCGTATGGAAAAGAAATTCCGACCGCATTCCAAGCGACTCGGCTGCTCTGCCAAGTTGAGATGGTGGCCTCTCAAACTGCTGTTGTGACTGAGTTCTACTAAATAACGGGTCGTGTGGTTGAGATCTCTCAAAATCTGACATGCCGATATGAGATCCTCGCGCAATCGCCAATATTGCCTGCTGAAGACCTCGAGCACTTTCAGCCTTCGTCCATACGACAAATTATACAGACCTTTGGCATTTTTGGCTTTCTGGCGCTGTGGTATCTCCAAGGTGGTGAGATGCACATTCATTCATGGCTGCCAGCCCTGTACTGCGCACCCCACATGTGGCCAGGCTGCGTTTCGCACTGCTATACACTTGCGCGTCCTGCTTCGCAGAAACGAGACCACGTTTCTCGAGCGGAAGGTCTTAGCCACTGACGCTTCGGCAACCAGCGAGTCAAAGTGGCTGACGAAATGTTCTCATGAACTATCTAGTGTCTCCTCTGCCAGAATTGTTTAGTTGGCTGTCTCACTTGGTCGAGCTAATATGTCGCAACGTGCATACTTTCTCGTTGTGTCAGCAATTTCCATGGGATATTTTGCATAGCAAATGTATTCAAAGAGTAGTATTGCATGATCACTGTGGCCCAGTGGGACGTCGATGATCTCCCTCGACTAGTAGTTTTTCGTTGGTGAATATCCGATCCAGTATTGACAGCTTATCTTTTTCTCGGAATTGGGTGGGAGTGTTATTGTAGCCATACAGCGGGTAACTGGAAATCAATTCCGGTAGATCTACCTTAAACTGTTCTTCGGGAGCTGTTTGGAATTCCAGAGCGTGGATGTTGAAACTGCCAGTAATGAGAATGTGACTGTAAGCTGTATTTATCACCCACCTTATTGCGGATGCCATATGGGAGTCGATCTCGGGCGTGCAAGAATGAAGGCGGTAAATGACCGCCACTAAGCAAGTGTCGTTTTCTTTAAACAGACGGCACCAAAGTAAATCTTATACCGTGCTGACCGGATCCTCTATGAGCTCACATTAGGGGTTATTGCAGAAGTACAGAGCCACCCCTCCACCTTTGCTGAGTCGGCCGTGCCGAGCAATGGACATACCTGGCAGTGGGATCTCTATGTCACTTATGCCAGGACGTAAGCATATCTCCGTTATGGCGATGAGGTCGCAGGCTTTTGATCCTTGACGTAGCCGCAGTTCGGAAAGTTTACTCAGTAAGCACATGAATTATGTGGGTTTGTGCCGACCGATGAGAGGCCGGCACCAAATCGTTTTTTGAGTGCATTGTCAAATCTAGATAGGAACGCAATCACTTTTTAGTCTCAATTGCACCTGCGGCATGTGGTCCATCGGAAGCTTTTTCGATAGCTACGGGTCTTAGCGCATAGGTTCCTGAATTGCCGTTGTGAATATATTGAGTCGCGGGTGGTGTCGTTTCCGCAAAAACAGCGAGTGGCTGCGGCTCTCTAACATCTGTCTTCAGTCGTATTTCCGCAGGATGTGTGCTGCATAGTAACTGTCAACTACAGATTAAGTTCACGGCCATCTGTTGTGATTGCAGCGTTAGTTGCAGTATCCTCGGCCCACTGCCTCGGTAGTTTGGCGACACGGGTAACCGTTTAATCGACTGAAGTAGGACGTCATCCGGACTGAGAGCTTCATGGATGTAACACCATTCTTCCAGGTTATGAGCGTGGGCTTCTTCGTTGCTGGTTGTCAGTAGCTCGGACACGTCATGAACGGAAATAATTCTTTTGATACTATGCGTATGGCGGTCGTTTGAATTATTTTTGTCCCGCTGGCATTCGCGCCATGGAACATCCGGAAATATGCGTACTCCACTGTTTTCTGTCCGCAGACGGTATGCTGACAAAAGTACCGTTTCGCCAACATCTATTAATCCCAATGTTATTCGCATTAGCCGGGGCTCACCACAAGTATTCGAGGTTTGAGGTCTAGTGATGTGCATTATATTAGTCGAACTGGCTTGAACTCTGCTTTTATCACAAAGGAAATTCCATTGCTTTAAAGCATCGATCTGTTTACCGCTAAAGAAGTTTGCCTTGGACTAAGGAACGTTGATGCATAGAAGTGTCAATGATTCGTAGTTCCGCCTAGTCTTCGGTGATGTGGGAAGCACGGTTATTGAGGAATTTAGTGACGTCACTGCATGTCGAGCCTGGTCTTTCGCCCGTTCTGTGGCTGTACTAGATGTGGCTACTGCGGTCGCACTTCGATTATACCGAGCAGCAGCGGCTACATTTGTGGATCGCTATTTAGAGCGTTTCGACTATTGTTAGTCAATCGGAAAGGTGGGTGTTACCGATATTGCATCAGTCGATACATTGGATAAGAGGACGCGGACGGTGAGGCTAGGCATGATTCTATCGGTCGCGATGAAACTTGGTTTGTGATTTCCAAGGTTTCTAGTACCGTCTGGCCGTGTGAAAGCCTGGCCCTTTTCCTTGGTTTCGAGGCAGTAATTGAGTGAGACGAAGGAGGGGCAAGATGCGCTACTTTCGCTTCGTGCGAAACAATTTTGACTCAGACGATGTTCAGTTTTGGCGACTAGGCTGTCGTGCTGTTTTGTTGACGCTAGTACGCATTTTATTAGTGGACCCGTCGTGCACTTCGGACAGAACCAAAGTGAACCTGGCGTATTGTATTTCTTGATGTCGGTTCTACAGACCTTGGCATATTTCGAATGGTACCGGTCTTAACAATTTGTACAAGTCCACCCTCTTTTTACTACCTTAGCACAAGTTTGATTAGCATAAAGTACTTCGTTTCGGGTTACCGGTCATGATGGTCGATTACCGTGGAACAAATTCAAGATGGAGGACATGGACGGCACTTGGGCCAATCAATAGGAACTACGAAATTAGCCAGTGAACATCCACCAAATTTGCACAGCTTGAATAATACACCAACAGAAAAACATCGGTGCACAATTCCCACAGAAAAATCACGTATAACAGTAATCCCGAAGAAAAACTGGAATCCAGCACGGATATGTGTAAGGAAGTCGTTGATGCTCTTGTTCGGTTTCTGTACAAACTTTGAAAAGCAGTATCTCGCAGTATAAACATCTTGTTTTAATCCCCACAGGGTGGTGCATTTGTCCATGGCCGAAGTAATAGTGTCTCAATTTGCTACATGTAGTGCATCATAATGTCGGTGGCCTTCCTCCCCAGCACTTATGTTGTGGGACTCCTAAAGTGAAATCATAGGATTCAAAACAGGCATTAGTTCCAAGTAGTTAATAAATGATATAGTTAATGAATGATTTCTGCCACCTCATCCAGTTTTTTACAAGGTTAGCTTGTCCTTAGCGGATGCCCAAAACTTAGCTGGTGGATTAAGGATAAGGTTTATCTGGATCTTGTCGCCAATAATAGGTGGTAACGAATTCAAGAGAAGCACGCCCCCAGACTGCAGTTAGGCAAGAACAAGGCACGGTACGAAACAGAATGTATCGGGTGAAGAACTGCGCTCACGGATCACATGACACACGAATTAAAGCATGGCGCGAAGAACTATTGATTATTCAATGCGAGGCAAACCAATAAGAGCGCAGTGCGGCTGAACTAAGTAACCAATGTCATCGACAGATACAACAATGGTCGCGGGTAGACGACCCACCGCTTCGTTCGGACTTCTGCGTGCTATTGAATGCCGATGACTACAGGAAGTATGCTTAGGTGGTAACACTCAGCCGAATTACCAGATAAGCGAGTTTGCCAGGTTGAAAAGGGATAAAATAAGAGTTTCTCGAAACATAGCTCGATACTACGAGCCCAAAAATGATAACACAATTAGGTAACAATGATACCTGACAAGATTATTTGTGAATTAGATCCATAAATATAAGAGTGGCGCGCAAGTAGACACATGCATCAAAACCAGAGAGTAAAACACACCGCGTTTCTGAATAAAACTTCATCCAAAATGCCGACACGGAAATTTTGCCGGAGAAATTAGCTATCATTTTGTCATAGACTAGATTCGTTTCAATTGTGGAAGGCGATAAAACGCTCGTATAGCTGAAGAGAGTCATGCTAATCTTACTTGTCATACGTTATTTGATTATGATGGTGTTGATGACACAGACATGCATTGCACATGTTTGCACATACTAGTAGTAAGAAGCATGCATGCCGGAAACTCTGGTGGAAAGTACGGGATGGTGAAAGAGACACCGGCGATATGGATCAGCATTTGGACTAGGCTTGTCTTGAAAAGGATGGTGTATGGTGATATCCAGTGAAAAGAAGGCAGTCGGCCAGCGTATTTACATACGATGCTTCAGACGCCGAATTCGAATCTGTCGAACCGGGTTAAATTAATTTACTGCTTTCAAACGACAACCAAACCAATCGTACCATGCGATTTTGACAGCGAGAGACTCCAAGAACTGTTCACTTTGAATGCAGATCCAAAACTGTAATTGATGTCCAAGTGAATAGTAAGCGCAAATAGAACGCCAAGTGATATAAGCAACGACATTTGCTAAAGAGATGAGATAGTTACTTTGCCGTATGGAAATTTAGAATCCAATCTAGTAGGTAGGGTTATGGCTTCGGTGCTTTCCTTGTTTGACGACTCTACACAGAAATGCAACTCGATCAGTAGGGAGAGACCACGTCAAACAGCAAGCAGATGAGGAGATATTACTCATGAATGATTTGTTTATGCGTGCATAAAGGAGTAACGTTTTTTCCAGGTTCGCTTCGCCACATTTTGATTTATTAATGGACATAAAACCGGATGACAGCAAAGGATCCACGGGTAGGTTCCACAACTTGGGTCGATGCTTTTTAGGTGTGGAACAAATTCTCTTGGCTCTGATAACTGGATCGCCATCGGAGGGATACGCATTGGTCGTTTATATGACAACTCAACGATATCTAAGACAATCATGGATTCATTACTCTAAATTCACTGGACGCAAAGTATTCCATCATGTGAAATCATCCGACGGAAATATTTCTATTGGAAACTTGGATGCAGGCATGAAAAACGTGGAGGAAATAAGATTAGCCACACATGTTTGGCACAGAATTCGGTTGCTCAGGTAAAATCCCACTTAACACTGCTGCGTTGATATTCCATTTGTTTCAGTCTTTGATGACGATGTTTTAGTTATTCGTTAAGGTGCACGGTTAGAATCATGCTGTCGTGTAGCAAACAGGGGACGCATGTTACATTTACGAAACTGCACTGATTGACTGACACAAGCTCTCAGGACTCAGTGTTTGTTGATGTGCTCTGTCTGGAATCCTGGAGATGTGATACAACCTTCAAGTAGATGTGCAACAGTCATCATGGTGTATATATCATCACTTGTTTGTTGGATGAGGGATTTGAGGCAAGTGTGAATGACGTGTTGAACCAAGAATGCCCCTAAATGAGAGGGCATTATCTAGCACTTAGTAGTCGGTGATTCACGGATCGGGCTTCTTAGCAATCTAACAGATGCACACACTAAGACGGTGTTGCGCGTTACCCAAGGAATGTGATGGTATACAAAGTTGCATATTTTCCTCACTGACTTCTTAATGAATCCCTGCTTCATGTTGGGCGAAGAGGCAATCCCAAAAGCTGGCGTAGACTTCCAGTAAAACGAGATCTTTACTTATCCATTCGAGGTAGCAGGTAATACTACTATGCCGGTGCGTCGCATTATTGTCACGCGACCCCCACCAGTCGCACACACGGGCTAAGGATACTGTGAGGTCGCCAGTAGCTTCGAAATGATGACCCTAGCGTTAAAAAGCAGGTGCCTCATCCATTCGGTCACCGGCTGAATATTCAGATGAATTGCTGGGCTCATGACAGCAAGTTCCGTGCAGTCTCGTGGCTGAGCCAGCTAGGCCGTGGTACGACAATTGGCACAAGAGAAACTCCTCCCTCTGATTAAATAACATCACACATTTACTGATAAATATGGCAAGGCAAATTCTTACACACAAATTAAGGGCTCTTGAGCATCTGATGGATATGGTTATCTTATTTTTACATCCTATTTTACACTGGCCTAAACTATTCATTTTCCCTTATTCACAGGCGAAGTTATAGTCTAGTTATTTATTTGAACGGGTCGCACATTGAAACTCAGGACTTGTACATCGACAAGTTGCCCACGCTACACTTCACAAAACTATTTGTAGGTGAGTCACAACCCTTCTATGGAAACTCATGGATCATAATGGTCACACATATGTCTTGGCGAAATGGAAACACACTTGGATGTGCAAATTTTAATCCACGACATCGTCCTCCAGAGGATTAGTGCTTATCTTTACTAAGTAGTAGAGGTTCGGTCGCTGAAATTTCGATTCAATTGGGGGCCTTTCTGTGAATGTTGCTTCTGCTTATTGATGTGGAAGTTGGTAACTGAAATTCCAACTGGAATAATGAAATTAAAATCCCAGTGGCTGCACCAAAAAAGAGTGAAGAGTGAATGAAAGATCGTCGCACCAGCTTACTAATCAGCTAGTCCTCCATATACCCGGAATGACACTAGAGTGCAAATTCAAGCGGTTGGGCATGGTCAGTAGCGTGTATCCATCGGATCCTTTAGGAATCGAACCTATGACTACCAGCGGCTTGCGCGGTCAGTCAGTAATTAGCTTGTAAAAATCATGACTGGCCGACACTGTCCCCCATGGCCCAGTGGCCTAAGCTACTGACTGGCGATGCAAGCAGCTGGTAGTCATGGACTCGAATCCTGATGGATCCGCACTACCGAGGAAGCACAACAGGCTGAAACTGCAGTCTAGTGCTTTTCCGGGCATGTGGACAACTAGCTGATTTGGAAGATGGCTGTGACGAACCCACAGTTAAGTATATAAAAAGCCCCTACTGATGAGAATGAAAAACGTCTACTTACTTTCAGCATAAATGTGACGAATTAAAGAAACAATGCCAAATTCAATGCTAACTCTAAGTCCACTGTTTTGTATTTGTCAGACTCAAAAATACGTAGTGCATGTTGTTTAGTGTACTAAATAGAAAGAATGGTGCGGGAAACCAGAGTAAAGTTTGCTAAGAAAAGTAAGGCGAACAGCCGAGAGGATTTTCAAAAATTGCAATTGCTTAAAAAACAGCAACATGTAACAGCTTTCACCGTTAATATCCTCAAAAATAGGGTCCAAGGTGAACCGCGGTATGCATGTGGTGTGGTGGGAAGCTACACTTTACAAGATTAGATCACACAAAAAGATAAAGCAATTTTAGGCAAAACTATCCACCACGCTTCAGAGTCCATGAGACACAAAGTTAAAATTATGCACTTAACCGTTCACTTGGTAAAGTGACGCTTTTGTATTACATACCCTTAGTCCGGCGACGAGATATTGGTGCGGCAGTCTAAATCAGTGACTGCAGTACATGCTAAGATTTGTTTTAGTCCTGTTAAACCTCTGTACGTTATTTGTGTTTAGGTGGAGTCGATGCAACCGTAAATCTATCTCCGCATATCAATGAGTCGCTGGAGTCAGACAAGATTGGATCTGTTGTCCTCCGCTTGATGCCAAGTGTCTCTGGATTCACCGGGTGTGTGGAAAAGCTGCGAATCAACGGAATGTCAATAAATGCCGCGGATTCCACCAGGGGTAGAAATATCGGCACTTGCTAGACCAACCGGGTTTTCCGCATTCCACATGCCCAAACGTTGGAAGAGAATAGTGTAACCTTGTAATATCCGCAATGATCGAAACGGGCATGGTTGATCTGTTTGTTGCACAAACTTGCAACAATTTATCTTAGTGTCGATGAGTAATACAGATTGGTATCTATATACTGCACTTTGTCATTGCATCGATATTGATATGTACCGATAACGCTTCGCATAAATGCATTCATTTGCTTGTGAACCCGACTGCAGCTGTATTCCCAGAGGCGTTAAGACAGTTTATTGTGGGATAGATTACATTTACATGACATCCATACAGGAATTAACTTAACACCAGTGACGACAAAAGTACTGGCCTCAGTTCGTCGCCTCACTGTGCAACAGGAATCACGGATCAGGAAAGAGTAAGCGGACTTCCGCCCAGAAGGTGGCTGCATAGACCATATATTCACTCTGCGGCAGGTGCTAAAGCAGCTCCACACGTACCGCAGGCCGACAATAGCTATGTTTCTGGACTTCAGAAGTGCGTTCCATTCATTCTGTTCGAAACAATTGCGCGGTAAGGTGTTCCCAAGAAATATGTGAACATTCACGAGCCCTGTATTCGAAAACTACAGGCCGCGTCAGGGTCTAAGGTGACTTATCAGACATCTTAGCGACAATAAGTGGCGTTCATCAAGGTTGCCAAATTTCCCATTTTTGTTCAATTTTACCATGGACTGCATCACGGAGTGTTCTCCTTGCGGGATTTCTCCATACAGGCGTTGAGGTGCTGCCTGGTGAAAAACTAGTTGATTTTGGAGGGTTTCGGTGTGGCTCTCTCCCATCCTTGCACATCACGACCGATGGTTTCGTCTTGGTTTAGACTCATCATGTGGAGGATATTAGCTTGCTGTTTAACGAGGTTGGGGCGGTCCAATCAACCGCGTATAACCTCTCTAAATTGGTCCCATCATTTGGCATGCACTTCGCATCTTCAAAGTGCAAAGTGTTAATACAGGGCCACCAGCCACTTGACGACTTCTTGACTTTTCATGGCGAGGAACTCGAAGCAATTGATCAATTCAATTAATTTGTTAGCTGCATGAACAACGATGTGCGAATAGCAACTGAAGTCAGATCAGATATTGCTTTTTGACTCTGGGACATCTCTCTCTTCAGAAGGGGGGTTTCGCAAGATCCAAAAGACCGTGAGTACAAGGCCACAGTGAGGGTCGTGAGTGAGATTTGGTCCCTTCGACCTGAGGCGCATTCAAAATTTTCGATTATCGTTGCCTACGAAGCATTGCTGGTGTCCAGTGGCACCAGCGTGTCCGCAACGACAAATTGCGTGGGCGGGTGCTAGACAGTTATAATCCGACTAGTTCCGTAGAACACATGATAGTACTGAATAAGTTGCGTTGGCTTGGGCATGCACTGCGTATGCCTGGTTATCGCTTACCGAGGGAGGCCTTGTTTTGTTTGCCAGATGTGGGGCGGTGTAAGACCAGACGTGAAGAGAAGTTAAGTTGGCAGCGAGAAATAAAGTCAATGGCAATCAAACTCGGTACCGTCGGTCCGTGTCACTTTCCAGGCTGAAGTCCACGTGACCCGTCTTGTGCTTGGTCCGAGACGTTACAAGATATGGCTCCTAGTCGGCACCAGTGGCATTTCTGCTGTCGTTTTCTAGTCGGGTTGCCTGTTTAAAATGTGTTGGGTGCTGTGTTACCTGCGGGATAATGGTCGATTATGACGCGGCGCAGTGAAAGCCACAAGGAAACTGTCTCGCTGATACCGCCTTATCTTTGGACGATAGCTTCGTAATCAGTGATACCGTCCGCTGAGTAGTCCCAAATGTTTCAGTCTTTGCTCGTATGGTAGACTGCGCATTCCAATGGCATATTTGGAAGTTTGACGTTGAAGTTGTTTCATTGCATTAAGGTCGTGCATCAGCCATTGCTGCTGCGTTTGAATTGCGTATTCGATATGGGGGCGAATATACGCAATGACCATCTGTCGGAAAATAGAGAAGTCTCCTTGGAACAATGGTATATTGCGCGTAGAAAAGCGGACGCTTAAAAAGTCCCGTAGGATGGCCAGAATGAGAACCAAAATATAGGGAAAAGAAAACAAAAGGATAAAATGCAAATCGTTTTTGATGGACTCACCACAGTGTTCACAGAGAGGTATGCAGAAAGGAGCCGACCCTGATTGTGCAGGTTGTGCAATGTTTGTCTCATTATATCCTCTGTCGATGTGCACAAGCCATATCACGAAGTGTAGGTGGGTTAGGGCAACATCAAGGCGTTTTTTAAACACAGGTAAAATAGGGGTAAAATAATGTAAATTGAGACGGTGTTCCATGGCTGGCATACATGAAGAGAGCAAAAATTCCGTCGACATTCTAACCGATTGTATCGCTTGGCCAACTTGAGCCAGTGGCTCCTCGAATTCGTATTGTGACTGAGTTGCAGTGGGTGGGGGCAGATGTGCTTGAGGTTCCTCAAAGTCTGTTAGACCATTATTAGGTCGCCACAGGCGGTGTGGATACCAGTTTTCGATGCCATTTCGGATAGTTGGGAACAAAAGTTATCCTGAACTAGCACGCCATGGTCGAGTTCGACGGAAGATCGCTGCAGTACTTGCGTTCCTAGCCTGTAGGAATGGGTACTCTGATGTCGTATGGATAGTACCCTGAATTTGGTCACGTTGAATTTCAGCAGATTTTGGGCTGACCACTGATGTACCATATCTAAGTTACACTAAAGTAAATTGTAAACGGCATCCACCCGAAACCGGCGCCAACTCTTTGTGTCATCAGCAAACAATAAGCAACGTGAAGCGATTGTCTGTGCAAGGTCATTAATCAATACCAGAAACAATCGTGGACCTAGAACTAGCCTTGAGGTATATCACACTCGACCAGTATGGAGTCAGATAATGAGCTTGGGATTCTGACGACCAGTTGCTGTTAAAGGGGAAGTTGGCAATCCAAGAGAGGGTCAGCCATGCCGTAATAGTACAGCTTGGAAAGGAGACTCCGATGATCTAAACGACTGAATTCCTTCGACAGATCGAAGTAGATCATGTCATCCTCTCCAGCGTCAGCTGACTCAGTCCAACAGCTCCGGCCGATTAATAAATTCCTGGTGAACGATGGCTGTTGAGGGAAGCTGTTGCAACTTTCCGGATAACACACCAATGCATCCGCAACAATGGATTCCACTACCTTGGACAGTATAGGAAGAAGAGATACTGGATAGTAGTTTAGGGGCTCAATCCTGTATCTGCTCTTGTGAATTGGTCATTATGCTAAGTTTCCACATCGCAGGAATCTGGTTCTGGACTAAGCAGCGCTGAAAGAACTGGGCCAAAAGTTTTGAAGGTTGCCTTGTTGCTGCTCCAAGTGCTTTTATGCGAATGGTGTCGACGCTCGGGAAAAACAACAACAACAACAACAACAACAACAACAACAACAACAACAACACTTCAGCCATTTGAACTGATGCTACGCTGTCATACAACCATGAGGACCTATGAAATAAAGAATAAGAAGAGGGAGAGAAGGGAAACTTACCTGAAAACCTTAATGCCCTAAGCAAACATTCAGGGTCAAGGCGCCTACACCTTGTGCAGACAACATGCTGTCGCAATCAGCTGGCTATCGTGCAAAGATAAGGCGGCATTTGCAAAACAGCTTCCCTGCGGCTTTCACTGCCACGCATCATAATCGGCCATTACCCCGCAGATAACTCAGCACTACACTGTAAACAGGCAATTCGACTAGGAGACGGCAACAAACGCGCCAATTATGTCGGTTGCCAGCCATGTCCTGTAAAGTCTCGAGCCAAGCACAAGGCGAGTCACTTGGACTCCAGCCCGGAAGACGAGACGGACCAACGGCACCCAGTCTGGTCGCCAATAACTTTCTTTCCTGCTGCCAAGTCAACTTCTGTCTACCTCTAGCCTTGCGCCACCCTACACCTGGCAAACTAAACATGGCCCTCGTAGGTAAGCGGTGACCAGGCATACGTAGCACGTGCCTAAGCCAACGCAACTTATTCAGTGCTATCTGTTGTTTTAGGGAGCTAGCATGATTATCCTCACCTATTACTGGCCTATGCACATCATCGTTGCGGACAAGCTGGTGCCATCCGAATCCAGCAATGCTTCGCAGACAACGATGATCAGACTTGAAGGTGTCTCAGGTCTTCAGACCGAAGGGGCCAAGTCCCACTACCATAGAGCAGAACGGCCTTCACTGTGGCCTTGTATACACGGCCTATCAGACAGAGGGAAATTCCCTTCTGTCATCAAAGCTGCCGCAGGTTCGGGAAGGCAGCTCCGGCCTGTGCATTGCCTGAGCTGACGTCAGTTTCTATGTGCAAATCGTTGCTGATGCAGCTGCCAAGATAAGTGAATTGATCGACCACCTCGAACTCCTGGTTAACAAGGGACAAGGGGTCATCAAATGGCTGGTGGTCCTGAAACAACCCTTTGCACTTTGAAGGTGCGAAGCGCACACCAAGGAATGGGACTACTCTAGACAGGCTATTCAGGGTTGATTGTATCGCCGCAACATCGTCGAAAAGCAAGACGATGTCGTCCGTATAATCAAGAGCAACTAATATTTCACCAGGAAGAACTTCAACGCCTACATCGTGAGATTCCGCAAAGAAACACGCCATGATAGAATCCACGACGAAATAGAACAAAATTGAGGAAACCGGATAACTCTGAGGAACGCCACTTGTGGTCGGAAAGTTATACGACAAGCCACCGTACAATGAACAATGATTTATCACGGGATAAAAGCAAGTGCTTGACACATCCCGTAGGATGGTCAGGGTGAATATGATGAAATCAAATACATCTAGGTCATCTACCGAACGTCTGCCTAGACGAATACTTCGATAAATTACATCAATGCAAAATTAAAAAAATCGAGCGTAAACGTTCAGAAAGACACTGGGGTGCAGTGAAGGTTGATGTAAGGAGTGAGAAAAGTAAAATATGGTCGCTCA